CTAAGAAACTATTATCTAAGCCACAGTTACAAGGATTTGCTACCGTGTTTTCTTCTTCTATGAGCTATTTTATAACTTTGGCTGTTTTTTAGGTCTGCTATCCATTTACAGTTAATGCTCTGTGTATGGTCTGAAGAAGGCATCATGCTTCATTCTTTTGCATGTCCAATTCTAGTTGTCTTTGGACTAGCTGTTGAAATACTTTTTTTCTTTTTCCTATTTTTTAAAATTTCAGAATATTTGGGGGTATGTATGTTTTGTTTACATACTTACAGATTCAGGCTAAGTTATAAATGTGTCCTTCACCTGAATATTGTGCATTGTATCCATTGTGAATTTACCCATTCCCTCCTCTTTCCTCCTCCCAGCTTGATTTTCATTGAGATTTACTTCCATATGAGCACTTAAGTGTTGATCCCAACTTGGTAATGACTATATGTGTTTGTTTCTCCATTCTTGTGATGTTTCACTTAGAAGAATGGTTTCTAGTTCCATCTAGGTTATCACAAAAGATAATAGATTGCCCATTTTTTTTAATGGCTGAGTAGAACTCCATAGAATGTATATACCACATTTTATTAATCCCTTCATGTATTGTTTCCACGTCTTTGTTATTCTGAATTGCACTGCTATTAACATTGAAGTGCAGGTGTCTTTGTAGAAAGTGACCCTTTTCCCGTTGGGTATATACCCAGCATTGGGATTGCTGGATAAAGTGGCAGGTCTACTTTAAGTTCTTGATGTTCTCTCCATACAGTTTTCCATAGAGGTTGCACTAGTTTGCAGTCCCACCAACTGGGTACCAGAGTTGTTCCTTTCTTTCCATATTTATGTCAGCATATTTTGTTTTGGGACTTTTTAATAGTAACAATTCTGTTTGGAGTTAGATGATGTCTTATTGTGGTTTTGATTTGCATTTCCCTAATGATTAGAGATGTTGAGCATTTTTCCTGAAATTTTTTGCCATTAGTATATCTTCATCTGAAAAGTTTCCATTCATGTCTTTTGCCTAGTTTTAATGGGGTCGTTTGGCCGTTTCTTGCTGGTTTGCTTGAGTTTTTTGTAGTTTCTGGTTATCAGTTCTTTTTCTGATGTGTAGCATGTGAATATTTTCTCCCATTCTGTGAATTTCCTATTGCTCTTTTGATTATGTCCTTGGCTGTGCAGAAGCTTTTTAATTTTATTAGTCCCATTTATTTATTTTTGTTATTGTGATTGATTTTGGGGTCTTCATAAAATTCTTCACTTAGACCAATACCTGTAAGAGTTTTTCAAACATTTTCTTTTTGGATTCTTTTCCTTCTTTCTTTCTTTCTTACCTTCTTTCTCTCTCTCTCTTTCTTTCTCAGTTCTTTTTTTTTTTTTTTAATTTCAGATTAATATTAGGGTACAAACAATTAGGTTACAATGTTTGCATTTGTTAGGTAAAGTACCTGTTGTAGTTGTCTCCTGCATATACTCTTACATTGTGCCCATTATGTGGGAGCACATCAATCCATCTCCTACTTCCCCCATCCCTCTAACTTGAGCCAAGATCAGCTTAATGACTAATTCAAGTCAAAGTAGACTGTAATTAGCCATTTTCTTTTTGTTGTTGTTGTTGTTGTTGCAGTATTTGCCCAGAGCTGAGTTTGAACCTGCCACTCTGGCATATGGGACTGGCACTCTACTCCTTGAGCCACAGGTGCTGCCCCATGCCCGCAACTTGAATTGAATTGAGTTTTTCTCTTGTGTGGGCATGAATTAGTTTGTCCACTGGCTTCATATTAGTGTTGAGTACATTGGATACTTGTTTTTCCATTCTTGTTATTATTTTACTGAGAAGAATGTGTTTCAACTCCATACAGGTTAAGACAAAAGATGGAAAGTCTCTTATCTTTTTTATGGCTGAATAGTACTCCATGGTATACATATGCTACAGTTTATTAATCCATTCCTGGCTTGATGGGCATTTAAGTTGTTGCCACATCTTGGCAAATTGAGCTGTGGTGAACAATGTAATGCATATGTCTTTATGATAAAATGATTTTTTTCTTATAGGTAGATGCCTAGTAATGGGATCAAATTTAAGTTCTATTTTTAGTTCTTTGAGGATTATCTATACTTCTTTCCAAAGAGGCTGTATTAGTTTTCAGTCCCACTAACAGTGTAAAAATGTTTTCTTCTTTCCACATTCACACCAGCATCTACAGCTTTGAGACTTTGTAATATAGGCTGTTCTCCCTGGGATTAGGTGATATCTCAGGGTAGTTTTGATTTGAATTTCTCTGATGATTAGGGATGAAGATCATTTTTTTTCATGTGTTCATTAGCCACTCATCTATGTTCTTCAGAGAAGGTTCTGTCCACATCTCTTGCTCAGTGATAGAAGGGATTGTTTGCTCTATGACAAATCCACAGCTAGCATCATACTAAATGGAGTAAAAGTGAAAGCTTTTTCACTTAGAATTGGAACCAGACAAGGATGGCCACTATTGCTACTACTATTCAACATAGTTCTAGAAATCCTAGCCAGTGCAATCAGGCAACAGAAGAATATTAAGGGCGTCCACATGGAGACAGAGGAGGTCAAACTCTCACTCTTTGCCAATGATATGATCTTACAGTTTGAAAACCCCAGAGACTCAGCCACAAGACTCTTGGAGGTGATCAAGAGATACAGTAATATCTCAGAGTATAAAATCAATGTCCACAAATCAGTAGCCTTTGTATACATCAGTAACAGCCAAGTTGAGAAGCAAATCAAAGATACTATATCATTTACAGAGCTTCAAAGAAAATGAAATACCTAGGAATATACCTAAGAAAGGAGGTGAAGAATATCTACAAAGAAATTATGAAACCCTCAGAATAGGAATAGCAGAAGACATTAACAAATGGAAGAATATGCCATGATCTTGTCTAGGAAAAATCAACATCATTAATGTCTATACTACCCAAAGCAATCTACAGATTGAATGTAATCCCCATTAAAATACTACATCATACTTTGAAGAAATGGAAAAAAATAGTTCTTACTTTTGTATGGAACCAGAAAAAAACCCCGTATAGCTAAGGCAATTAAAAACAAAGCTGAGGCATCACTCAATCAGACTTTAGGTTATATTACAAGTCCACTGTGATCATTAATACAGCATGGAATTGCCACAAAAATAGAGACATAGACATATGGAACAGAATAGGAAACCTAGAGATGAAACAAGTCTCTGCTTGCCATCTGATCTTTAACAAACCAAACAAAAGCATTAAGTAGGGAAAAGAATGTCTCAACAAATGGTGCTGGGAGAACTGGCTACCACACATAAAAACTGAAATTGGACCAGCACCTTTTACCATTTACAATTGACAAGATAGATAAAAGATTTAAATCTAAGACACGAAATGATAAAAATTCTAGAAGAAAATTTGGGAAAAACTCTTGAGGATGTTGGCTTGGGGAAAGATTTTATCAAGAAGACTTCAGTGGCAATTGCAACAACAATAAAAATAAACAAATGAGACTTAATTAAGTTGAAAAGCTTCTGTATATCTAAGGACACAAAAATTTAAGCAAAGGACAGCCTTCAGAATGGGAAAAGATACTTTCATTTTATGAATCTGACAGAGGGCTGATAACTAGAATCTTCTAGGATTTTTATAGTTCCCTACATTAGGTTTAAGTCGTTTATTCATTGTGAGTTAATTTTTATGAGTCGTGAGAAGTATAGATCCTGTTTGAGTCTTTTACTCTGGCTATCCAGTTTTCCCAGCATTATTTATTGAATAGAGATTCTTATGTATGTTTGTATGTGTCCCAATGTATGTTTTTATCTGGTCAAAAGTCAGATGAGAATATGAAGATGATTTTATCCATGAGTTCTCAGTTCTGATTCAAAGGTCTAGGTTTCTGTTTTTGTGCCTCATACCCTGATGTTTTGGTTATTATAGCCTTGAAGTCTGATGAAATAATGCTTCCCACTTTGTTCTTATTATACAGGTGGCCATAAAATTTTAAATTGTGCACAGACTTTATGGCCACTCTCTATAGGTTACATTGGCTTTTTCGGGGTCTTTCCCGATTCCATAAGAAGGGTAGAACTCTTGTTTCTAGCTCTTTCCCCATAGAACAGACTTGGCACCCTGTGGCCTTATCATAAATGTGAAGAGTTATATTTGGATGCTCTGTTTTATTCTGCTGATCTGCATGTCTGTCTATTTGTCACTATCATAGTGTCTTGATTACTGTAGCTTTTTAATAAGTATTAAAATCAGAAAGTATGAGTCCTCTAATTTTGTTCTTATTTTTCAAGAGTTGTTTGTGGTTATTCTGGCTTCATTGCCTTTCTATATACATTTTAGGATTAGCTTGTCAATGTCTATAAAGAAGCTAGCCAAGATGTTAATATGTATTATGTTATATTTGTAGATCAAATTGTCTTGCTTTCTTAACAATATCAAGTCTTTCTATCTGTGATCATGAGTATTTATTGTAGGTTTTTAAAAATTTCTTTGAATAGTATTTTCTAATTTAAAAGTATAAGCTTTAACATTTTTGTTAAATTTATTCCAAAGTATTTCATTCTTTTTAGGTGCTGTTACAAATAGAATTGTTTTCTAATTTAATTTCTGTACTGATCACTGCTGGGTATATAGAAATGAAATTGATTTTTGTACATTGATCTTATGACCTATAATATCACTAAATTCACATATTGTAATAGTTTTCTTATTGTCTTAGGATTTTCTGCATATAATGATGTGATTTGCAAATAGAGGTAGTTTTACTTCTTCTTTTTCAATCTGAATGTCTTTTATATCATGTATTCCATTGTACTGGCTAGAACCTTGAGTGTATAATGTTGAGTAGAAGTCAATGATAGAGTACACATCTTTGCTCCTGATCTTTGGGAGAAAACATTCACTTGTAGTGATTTTTTTTAGTCCAAAAAGAATAGGACATAATTTTGGCTTGAAGCCTAACTTCCTTTTGATTTAAGTTTTTTTTCTGTTTACGTATACAGATATGTGCTGATTAGAAGATTCACTTGTGCAGTGTGGAAGATAAGCAGTGCCTTACAAAAATGGGGTTTGGGAGTGACCTGAAGAATTCACATGAAGCTGTATTAAAATTGCAAGACTGGGAATTACGGTTATTGGAGACAGTGAAGAAATTTATGGCCTTGAGAATAAAAAGTGATAAAGAATATGCATCTACTTTACAGAACCTTTGTAATCAAGTTGATAAAGAAAGTACTGTCCAAATGAATTATGTCAGCAATGTCTCCAAGGTAAAAAGAATAATTTCATTTGTTATTTGTAGCATCCTAACTATGCTTAAAGCATAGGTCATAATAGGTCATCATATTGCATGAGCATACCCACGTCAATGTTTGAATGCAGTGGTTCCAAAATTGTATTGTCCTTGTACAGATGTACTTTGGTATCATTATGGATGTCTTCAGAGTAAACTCCTAGAAATGGGATTTTTAGGTCAAAATGTAAATGCACGCCATAGTTTTTTAAAATACTGCTAATGTAAATATAAATTTATATAAGATAGATACTGATCTTGTAACATTTTAAATATATACCAGAAATATATGAAGTTTCCACTTAATCTGAGCAACAGATTTGTTGTCAAAATTTTGAACTTTTATTTTTCTGATAGGTAAGAATGACATCTAGTTTGGTTTTTATAATTCTCTAATTAAAGGAGTAAAATTAAAAATATTTTTATGTGTTTAAATAGTAGTTGTTTTTTGGGACTTATTTTATGCAGTGGATAAATGCTATTTTGTGTGTTTTATTCATCTAAAATTATACCTGTCCCAGTATAGTCAGCTATCTTCTGAAATAGTATAGTGGTACAGATAATTCTTAAATAACATAATTTATTTGAAAGGAGATACTGGCTTAGCTTTTAAACTTGAAGTGAATTGAAATATTGGCAATGCTTTAGATAGCCCTTGGGAATAAAAAATAATGAAAAATACTTTTTGATGAACCAGTCATTATTTAGTAGGGATGTAATATACATACAATGTAACTGGAACCTGTATAACAAGAATTTAAACTATAAAGGGTGCCAAAAAATATATACACATTTTAAAAAAAGGAACTACTGCATTAAAATTGTAATGCTTAAATTGTGTTTGACTCTTGCACTTGTAAGAGATACAAGATACAGTATGTGGGTCACCTCAAAAGTTTTGAGATAGACTGTGTTATGGTCCATTATTTCACTTTCCAGAAACATGGTTGACAGCATCCTTTCTGATTTACCTGGGCAAGTTTCAGCAGGCTCAAGTTGTCAGTGTTGCTGGGAGGGCTTCATTTGTTTCTTTCCAAGTGAATGTTATATTTCTTGATTTTTGTGTGTCAAAACTTTTGTAATGGCCCACGTATACAATATAACAAATGTTATGTTATATATTGAGTATTAAAATTTTAATACAATTTTTTTCCTTTCTTAAAACATGTATACATTTTTTGGCATCTTCTCTATATATTTAAGGAAGCAATTTTCAAGCCTGTCTGTAGTGTCAGATCTGCTGTACACGTTGACTTGAAGACCCTAGTGTGTTCCAACCCAATTGATATATTGGGGAACAATTTGAGCTTAATGTGAATTTTGTATCTGCTTATATATGAAACCAGAAGTGCTAGGTGGATGTAGAAAACTATCTGAGCTGCTTGGGAGTACATATCACACACACAGTTCAGTCCCATTTACTTCTTTATCATGAGCCACCACCCATCCACATGTGGTATTGCAGTTTTCTGTCCAAGTTCAAATATCTCTACCACTTTACAGTAACTCACGAATTGCAGTCTTTCTGAAACCTATTTTGACAAATAAACTTTAGGTCCTTTCAAGGCCCAGTGCCATATTTATTGGACACATAGTAGTCATGTATTTCCTAACCATTTAATATGTGTAAAACTGCATAGTTTTTATTAGGATTCTGTCCTTTTTTAATGTATACTTAATACATTTCTTGAGGGTTAATTCCTTTAACCCCATTTTTCTGTAGTCTTTGTGGCATTGTGTGATTTTTGTGCAACCTGATTATTAGAAACAAAAATACTTTGCTACATCAGAACATGTAGATCAGAATTACATGGAGAGCTATAAAATACTGATGCCCAGACCTTATCCAAAGCCTATTAAATCAGAATCTCTGCTCATTAGAGCTCAGGAGTTGTTATTTTAAAAGGCTCTGACTTGCTGCTTCTTGTAGCCAGTTTGTGAACCACTAGCCTGGGGAAACCAAGGAGCTTTGAAGAAAATGCAGAAGAGAGGTTCTTACAAATGGAAAGTATGTAAGGTTTCCTATGCACTTACAACTGAGTCTTTGAAAATGTCATTTTCAGGGAAATTTAATGAGTTGTTTTCTGGATTTCTGTATCTCATAAGTATTTAGAGACACCAAAAATGTTTTTCTTATGTAGTAGGCAAACTCAGAATAATAACAGTTGTTTCAGAGTACCATTTATTTCGAGTTATTGTATAGTTCAAAAACTATACATTCTTCATGGAATTTTTATGTTGCATTTAAAAATATTCAAGTAAGAAGAAAGAAAACAAGTGGTTAGAGGATATAGCATGAAGTGAAAAGCTATTTGACACTATTATTTAGGTATTTTTTAAGCTTGAGTCATCTTGTTCATCATTTTCAATGCTTATTATAACTAGAGCTCTAGTAGGAGTTTGCTGTTTGACTCAGTATCCTAGAATAAATAATTTTTTGTTTAATGAACTGAGAACACTACAATTACTACTTATTTATGGATTACCAATTTATTCTACCACACCTGTTAGTTCAAAGATAGAAGACAAGAAAGGACATGATGTATATTTCTAAAAGATATGCGTTTCCCCCCATGTGGAAGTGTTCTCTCATCTAAATATTGAATACAGAGTTTACTTTCTTTATATCACGTATTCATCTTAGTGTAAAAGGCACTATTTACCTCCACTGGCTTCATAAGCATAAAATAGACATTTTAGGATTTATTTTAATTGTTTCAGAAATGTAGATGCTATTTGGCATATGCATCTGATCTCTTTTTTAAGGAGATGGGAGAAATAATGATATTTGTAAATTGAATCATTATTCTTCATTTTATTATGAAGTAAGTGATATATTTCTTTCTAGGAACTATTTTACCTTTAGTTGCAAAATGATAGTGTCAAAAATAAGTTAGAAATTTATAGAAAATCTTTTAAGATCAGACATTTCATGTTAAAGCGGTATTTTTATGATATAATCTTAATATTATTCAGTATACAACTTAGAATTTTGAAAAACGATCTATAGTTTAACAATCTCAAACCAGTAATTTGTTTCCCCGAGGAAAAGGAAAATGTGTGCTATCTGTGTCAGTGTGTTAAGGTGGTACTATTTTTAATTATCCAGGCTGGTATTGGGGTTGGGTAGGTAAGAAGAAGATGATTATTCCTTAATTGTCTTGCATGCAGAGAGATACAGGGGATGAGTCGTTAGTTTAGTCAGAAACCCAGTTAACTGGGTTAACTTCTGATATCCATAGCTTCTGACAGAGCATTCCATATCAAGAGTGACTTGCCAATCTTGATCTACAAGGACTTTTTCATTTTAAATGTACTCGTACTACAAAGTAGGTGGCCTAAATATATCTATCACCTCACATAATTATGGGGGGGGGGGCTGAGAACGGTTGCTGTGCTGCACGTTAGCTCTCCAGAACACATTGGTCCTGCATGAAACTCTGTTCCTTCATAACAGTATCTCCCCATTTCCCCAGCCCCTAGCAACTACCATTCTTCTCTTCTAGGAGTTTGACAGCATTTCTTAGATTCCACAGTATTTGTCTTTCTATGTAGTTGGCTTTTTCCCTTAGCATGATGCCTTCCAGGTCCATCCATTTTGTAAAAAATGGCAGGATTCTCTTCTTTTTTATGGTTAATGTTTGTGTGTGTGTATATTATACATATCATAATTTCCTTATCCATTTTTCTGTTGATGGTGTTTCTCTGTCCTGGCAATTTTATTTATTTATTTATTTATTTTTTGAGACAGAGTCCTTGGTAGAGTGCCATGGCTCCACAGCTCTCAGCAACCTCCATCTCTTGGGCTTAAGTGATTCTCTAGCCTCAGCCTCCAGCTAGCTGGGACTACAGGCACCTTGCCACAGCCTGGCTATTTTTTTGTTGTAGTTGTCATTATTGTTTAGCAGGCCTAGGCTGGGTTGGAACCCGCCAGCCCTGGTGTATGTGGCCAGCACCACCGAGCCTGTCTTGGCAATTTTAACTCTGGCCTATCTAGTCTGTTTTATGTTGCTGTAACAGAGTAGTTGAGATGGGGTAATTTATCAAAAAAAGAAGTTTACCTTGGCTTATTTAGTTCTGCAGGCTGGAAAAGTACAAGGGCATGGCTTTGGTTTCTGGGAAGAGGTTTCATAATGCATCACAACATAGCTGGCAGGGTCAACGGGGAATTAACGTGTGAAGAGGGAAAGCCTGAGGGGCTTCGTAACAACCCACTTTTATGGGAACTAATGCCTTCTTCACAAAAACTAATCTGGCTTTGCCATAGTGACAGCTCACTCACTACCACAAGAATGCAGCCAAGTCACTCATGAGGGTGGAGTATTAACCTCCCATTTGGCTCTACCTTCCGACACTACCATACTGGGGATCAAATTTGAATGTGAGTTTTTGTGGAAACAGACAAACTATATCAGTGCTGCAATGAATATGAAAGTTCAGGTATCTCTTTGACCTACTAATTCTTTTCCTTTGGGTGTATTACATAGCAGAGGGATTTCTAGATCATAAGGCAGGTCTACTTTTAATTTTTGAGGAACCTCCCATCCTGTTTTCATCCTAGCTTTCCTGATTTACATTCCCACCAACAGTGTATCAGGATTCCCTTTTCTCCACATCTTTATCAATAGTTTTTATTTTTTAAGAATAACCATTTTAACAGGTATGAGGTTATAGTTCATTGTGGTTTTGATTTGCTGTTACCTGATGATGAGAGATGTTGAGGACCTTTTCATATACTTTTTGGTCGTTTGCATGTTGTCTTTGGAAAATATCCACTCAGGTCCTTTGCACATTTTTTAATTGAGCTATTTGTTTTGCTGCTGAGTTGTATTAGTTCCTTATATGTTTTGGATATTAACCCCTTATCAAATATATAATTTGCGATTATTTTCTTCCATTTTCTATAGATTGCCTTTTTCTTTTGTTGATTATTTCTTTTGCTTTATAGAAGCTTTTTAGTTTATACAGTCTTACTTG